GGGGGGGGGGGAGAGAGAGAAAGATTATATAATTAACGCTCGAGGGTAGTCAGGGAAAAAAAATAATTGTACTAAACTAATGACTAATACGTCCGAGGGAGAAAACACTCGTCGGAGTGGTACAGCAGGCAGGGACAGTTTGTAAACCTCTTTTTTTTTTGAAACACCCTGTATATAGAATAATAATATATATAATATTAATAATCAATAATAATATCAGTTTGTATTGTACAGGCTGTTTTTTCTTTACGGGCTGGAAGCCTGTGGTCTCTCTCTATGTATTTACTTTAAATCCCTTATCGATACCGATACACTTTTTTTTTTCATTCCTCATTACGTTTTTCTATATAATAATTAATAATCTATCCATACCGATCTCTCGTTTGCACGATTTCATTTTTTTTTTGACACAACGGCAAATTCTATTTTTTTTTATCCAAAATTTCACCCCGTCACGCGCTTGTCGCGTTTCTATCGCATTCACGCAATCGCACAGGCATACCTTACACGCACTCTTGTCGCTAAACGCTCGTCTACTCAGACACGCTTATTTTTCAAAATCACCTTTTCTCTCTACTTCTCTCGCCGTTTTTTTTTTTTCGTATCTTTTTTTTAATCTTCCATTGCCTTTCAACTCTCGTCGAGCCTCCTTTAACGAAATATTCGCGTTATGCATTATAGTTTTTTTTTTTTACGAATTACCTTTACCATTATAGTTTAATATGTAGTTTTCTTTTTTTATCTATCGTAGATTTGTCTGTGGCTATCCCTGATGTGTTAGTTACCCTGCGCTTCCGTCTGGTTGTCGAAATATTGTTGTTATTATAGACTGTGTTCAAATTTTTTTTCTACGATTAAGGTTTCATCGTCATACGTCTCGTTCTCTTTTATCTTTCTGTTTTCATTTTTCCAAAATTTTCGTTTATGCGTTTACTCCAGTTTGAACAAAAAAAATGGTCACCGTGTATTGTTACTGTGGATTGATTTTCCTTCTTAGTTTTTCGTTTTCTTCGGTATTCAATGTCAAACCGCTAAACCCCGCACTCCCCTATCCACCATCTACTGTTACGTCATACCACCAAAATTTTGTACGTGTCTCTCTTTGCCTCTTTATTTTTCCTCTTGGTATTTTCTTTTTTTTCCTGTATCTTACAGAGCTTGCCAAGCCGTCCCGCCAGCGAGGTCCGATTAAACTAAGACTTTTTTCTGCATTGCTTGCATTCTGTGTATTGCACTGACCCCGATTCTCTTATCACCCACAAATTGTCTACTCCCATCAGATTTCACTTAGCAAGCTCCTGCAACAACCCTGTGACATTCTAACCCTTGTAAAAGGCTAGAATAAGCTTTTTTTCACGTAGATTTTCATTTTCTTAACTTGTCTAATCTTTGCTTCCTCCTTCTGTCCCCTTTCTCACCCCCTCACTTCAGGTTTATAGTATCCTTCATTTGTTTAGTCCTTCGAAACCGAATCTACGAAGTTGGCCGCAGAAGCAAGTTATGGAAATTTTTCAAAAAAAATACTTGTTTTTTTTTTTAATTTTGAGAGCAAGTATAGAAACAGTCCTTTGCAAAGCAGTGCTTCTATGGTACTTTAAACATTTCTATTGGTACGGGATATTTTACGTACTCGGAGAAATCTATCGTGTGTCAGCGTATCCGTCAAGACTCCGTATATTCGGTAATCGAAATAGAAATTTTAAGCAACGGGGTGATAACGAGTTTGCTAGCGGACGCCGTTCAGGGTAGCGACGCTTTGTGGAATCATTTAGCAGCAGCTTAGTTTACAGTACTATTTGGTATGATCGCTCATTATAGCAGGAACTGTTTATAGTGATGCTGTGTATGATAGCTCGTGGTTGGACAACCAGGACCAATCGTTAGCCAATCCTCTAGATAAATTAATGTCAACGAGGCAACATTGGTATTAGATGACAAATAAGATTCGACTGGATAATAGACTTTATATAGGGGTATCTGTATAGTGATGAGCTTTGGTACCACCTCGCACGTTATTGTTATCCGCATGAAATGCGCATTTATCATATAAAGAGGTGAAAGGTCAAACTTGCAAGGGGCATCAGATTGGCCCAGGTCGTCTTCCTTTTACGAGCAGGTCAAGAAGAAAAAAAAAAGCGCCATAATGGGGCAGTATCAGCAACCGTGTAAAGCAGTGGTACTTGCTGCGAGGGTGAGACGTTAGACGGTCACCCGGTATGTGGGTCAGTCTTGATAATCGGCTGGTGGATATGGGTCAGCGGAGCTGATGGAAGGTCGGGCCGAAGGCGAAGAAGAATCCGAAGACTAATAGTAATAATGATGATAACGATATTAAAGAATAGAAGAAGTAGAAGAAGAAGTAAATGAAGATGGTCCTAGTCGTTTCCATTTTGCTGCAACAGCGCTGGGGCCGATTGCGTCGGTGGTTGAGGTGGCGGATCGTGCGCGGCCGATGGTGAAGGCGTCCTACTCCTTGGGGTGAGTTCGCTGGATACGGGTCCTGATGTGGGTGGTGGTTCGAAGGCTTTTTGCTCGCTAGGTGGCAGCAGATGCACCATGCTAACGGGTACCGGAAAGGCAGCACTAAAGTCTGGGAAGAAACCCTGGGGTAAATTACCACCCAGAAGGGGATGCGTGAATCCCGCGTCATCACCAGGATGTGGAATACCCGCCAGATGATGTGACATCTGCGTGGGCGGTTGGACGGCCTTGACGTTGTTGTTCAAAGAATTCATCACTACCTCGCCGGTGGTGGCACCTGTGCAGTCCCTGCGTAACTGCTCCAGCTTGAGACTCTTGCCGTACTTGCCGCGCACGTACATCAGCAAACTGTTGTAGGGGATGCCAAAGATACGGCTGGCTTGTGAGGTCGTCATTTTCTTGTTCCAAACGTGCTGAAGTGCTTCGGTGAGTTCAGCATTGGTCCATGACCTGGGCGGTCCTCCTCTAGGTGCACTGTGCTGACCTTTAGGTCGACCCACGGGTAACCCGCGACTGTGCTCAGACCATCTTCGGGGACCATCTGCACTCTCGGCTCTGTGCTTCTTCGCCTTTTTGCTGGGATGATGTCCGAGACCAGTGCCAAAGAGGCCGTGAAGGCTCTCCGGCTTGAAACTATCATGGAGATCCGCCAAAAGGGAGCTGCTTCGGTCGAGTGTGCTTCCTGGTGGGAATAAACTGCCGGCACCAGCCAAGTGGCCCACCCCGTCCATGGGAAAAACGGCAACCGACCGTCTTGGGGTAAGAGGCGAGTCTTGTTGCTGCTGTTGGTAAGGATGGGACCTATTGTGCGGACTCCCTTCCCGTGGGTGATGACCTTGAGGCAGTTGACCCTGCGGGTGATTCGGGAGCCACTGAGCTGCCAGTTGTCCCAGACTGGTCAGGTACTCACTGTGGTGATGGGGTGGGGTTAAGGAGAGGGCCGAGACTCCTGGGAACCCTGCTGCTGGTAACTCCTGCAACGAACCGTCGGGCTGTAGACTCGTCCCTGTTAGAGGCGATCCTCGAGGACTGCTGGCACTCTCGCTCTCCGTCTTGATATTGTGCTCCGTCGGTAAGGGAGAGAGCGACCGTTTCATCGACAGATTCTCCGCCATGTCCTCCTGTTGGCCGGGCTGGTCCCTCTGTTGATTCGTGAGGTTCAGTCCGCCGCCGCCGCCGCCGCCACCACCGCCGCCGCCGCTACCGCCACTCGGAGGACTTGGACTCGGGGCGGGATGATGTCTACTCAAATCCTGAGGTACCAACTCCCCGGATCTTCGTCGCGGTCTCGCTTGCTTTCTTCGGGGCATCAATGGCGAACCGCAGGACTCCCGCAGTTCCCGCACTGAGAAATTAAGTTGGCCCATGTGCGGTAACCTGTCACGCGCTAGCTGATGTTCCCTGGAAAAGCCTCCAGGTTCCGGAGGTGGCACTGTCGCGCTTTCCGACGCGTCGTCGTCCTCTGGCGTACCTTGACGTGCGCCTTCCGGCGTCGACGGTTCTCCAAGTAGAAGATCCGCCGTTGGCGTTTCCGGTGGACTCGCTGGCCTTGGTTCCGAAGATGCCAAACCTCGCACCTGAAGACTCTCGGCTGCTCGCATCAGTCCTGGCAATTCTTCACGTCCTACTCGTACCTCGCCACGGTACATGAAGTCAATCAGTGCCGTCACCTCCCGGCCGGGGAAGTCTTTCAACACGATCACCGGATGCTTGCAGGGATGCTCCGCGAATATCCTCTCGAAGAAGGGACTGTTACGAGTAAATTTTCCTCATTATCACAAAGTTCCATCAAATAAGACGAGCAATACAAATTTTAATAACTCAAACAAATCAAGCTCATTCTGAAGTCTACCTCGACCTTTGGAGTCATCGTGACAGCTGAGAAAGACATTCTTAAAGAAAAATCCCTTTCACATCCTCAGATAGATGGGCATCAACTATATACAGCTATACAACAGTGCACCGACGAAACCTTATTAAAATAAAGTTCCGTGCTACAAAATCAAGAAATTTCCTTTTTACAAGTAAAACCACGTGTCTATCACACGTGGTATTTACACTCAGTGACAGGAGTCGTGTTTACAATCATTCGAATGCAAAAGCAGAAAGAGCAAGAAGAATAGAGATAAATGTCAAAGTACCTGCACGCGCTCAGAACGACCTTGTGAGCTCTGATGCTGGTCTCGGCGCAGACGAGGGTCACGTCGACGAGGGTCTCGGCGTGAAGGAGTGCCTCAAACGCCTGAAGAATATGGGCCTGGTGGTTGTTCCATCTAAGGGAATAATGGGACTGCAGAGCCATCCCGTCAGGACTCTCCGCGGCGCTCGACATCCTTGATCCTTGACCCTTTTCGAGCTTGCGAAGCCACCTTGCTCTACTTTCTTCTCGGCTCTTCGCGATTCCCTTTTCCTTTTCCTTCTCCTTTTCTTTTGCGCTGCTTTCCTCGCCCTTGCCGACGATTCTTAGTCTTCTCTTCCATGCACGCAGGCCACCACGATTCTCACGCCGCTAAGTGCATTCAGTGCCGTTTACTTTAATCTGCAACATTCCCATTCAACTACAATTCCTAATGTGTTAGGCTATCGTTACACTGAGAAACTACTTTAACCAAATTCATAGAGGACTTATCGATAGGTCCATGTGTCTACGTGAATCAAATGTACTTCTGAATAATTCAATAACAGACGGTACCATGGGAAAAATGTTTTACCGCCTTTTTGTAGTTTTAATTTTTACGGCTGTAATACGATTTTACGTAATTATTCGGATAGTTTAGGGGGAAAATTGAAATTTTATTTTTAGGCATTTCTGCGTATTAGGATTGATCGACCATTGTCCATCGATTATAAATTTTTAGAGTGAATTGAAAATTATTCATTTAAAGCTTTTATTTGCAATTATACCATTTTACATATTTCGCATCCGTCGCGCCGAGCAGTGTCGGCTTGTATGTGCCGTCGCGTGGAGATTGTCAGGTTATGTGGTTTGGAGTTATTTGATAAATTTTTATTGTCCCATATAGGCCAATTAACATAAATTTTATTGTTACTTAATTACTAAACTGCATATAAGTATCCATTTTTTTTAATATCAATTAAGTTTGCAAAATATTTTTGCCATTTTTTTCATTAAAATAATTGATAGAGGCATAAGCTTATTTCCTATGCAAATTATACTGTCGTCAGTACAGACTTGTCTGATAATCACGTGTCTAAGGATCGTCTAATTAATTTGGTATTAGGCACTGATTATTCAAAGATGTAATCGTGCCGTTTAAATCGACTAATTACCTTAGAAGACGATTAATTCTAATGCTAAAAGGTGACAAAGGTCCTCGCAGTCGAATTAACTCAATGCAAGGATAAAGTTTAATATTGACTGGGTTCAAAATTAATTAACATGAATTTAGCATCGCACTCGGATATTATAATAATACTGCGACTCTTGTGTAATTGGAATCAACAGTATAACCCTTTAAAGGTATTTGTTTTTTTCATAGACATTTGAGATTTTGGACTCGTTCAAAACGATATCCCGAAAGGCGCTTGAAAGACTTACAAAAATTATAACATGCACAATAATTGGTTTGCAAAATATTGGGGGAGCAATTCTAAGCGATCGGGATTTAAGTTTGCTACGGGTGCTACTGAAGTTATAAGAAACAAACCTATATAGATACTTTTATATCCAAAAATTACAACTTTTTGAGTTTACAGTGGATTAATATTTGTTGCAATTTTTTATACAATACATTTTTTATCCCGTATTATTTTCGAGCTACGCTAATAAATTTATTGCACCGTTTGTACTCGTTCATTGATTTACACGCTTTGCGCAATAAACTTGTCTCAATTTTTATATTGTGGAAGTTTAGATAGCCGGGAATGACGTGAACGGGGCTCCAGAAATTCAAGGATACGACACTGTGCGCAAGTCGAAAACTCCTGGGAACTTTGTTGTGAAGCTCGCACGTGTTCAGAAAAAGCAAAACGGCGCCGCGTTCGTTTCTTTAACCGAACTATCATTTGCTCGTCCTTCTTCACTTAGTGGGTATTCCTTTGTAATTAAAATTCTTTAACGTCAATACCATCTCCAATCATAAATATACAATGAGTTTAGCGTATCGTTCAAGTACAAGAGAGAACAAACAAACCAAACGGAGTGACCGATTTAAAAAATAAATATCAACAATAATTGGCACCAAAAATTATTTGGCACCAATAAAAATTCTAGTACGTGCTTTGGACAACGAATACTAAAAATACATGATAAAAATGTTCACAATTCGCGGCCCACTTGTATGACATAATTTCTATTCCAAAGGAAACCATAAAACAATACAATTAATTGTGTTTGGGTAATCGCAGTAAAACCTAAGAGTTCAATTAATTCCGGCAGCAATGACAAAGCTAATGAATTTCCGTATTTACATAGAAAAACACACGAGCAGTAGTGGTAGAGTAAAAAATATGGTTGAAAGTAAGAAGAAAAAGAAAGAAAAGAAAAGGAGAACAAGAAAAGGTATAAAAATGTCAGTACCGTTTCAGCAAAGTGCTTTCTAACCTATCACAGAGACTGACGACTTACTCAGCATTTGTATTTGACGAAAAATACGTAGAACGTTATAAGAACTCATGTGGTATTAAAGCGAAGAGTGAAGAGCCAACGATAATAGAGGTCGATGGATTCGGTCGGTAAAAAAAAATACACATGCGCGAGTCTTTCGCAACTGACTGTTTCTTACGGAATATTTCAAAAAGTCGAATCATACGAAACGAACGCAACAAGGAACAATAAAAGTTCCTCGAAAAAATTCGCAACGTACGTTACTGTGTAAAAGATCAAAGAGTCGTCGTAGTCGCGTGGTGTCTGGTCGCTCAACTGACGTAACATTATCAAACGTAGTGGCGGGCAATTTCGAGTCCCCACGAGTTCGTTAGTCTCTGATTTTGCACATCCTTAACAAACATAAATGCAGTCAGTAAATCATCAGCACGGACACCTCGTATACGTTTCACTGATAATCACTTGATTGTCAACCACTGTTCAATTGCGCAGAGCACCCACGTTTTTTGAACCGAGAAAGGTAAGGATTACGATTGCCAAGATAGAAACGTCAATTTGTCTAAGTACGTCATTTTATATTCACTTTTATAAATTCACTGACAGTCGTTCGTTCTAACACATAAGAGATCATCACGACAGGACGTCATAATAAATACTAGTGTTACCAGCGCTTAGAATGAGGATTGTTTACATCTTAGGTCTTCACTGTTGTCACTGACTTTATTAAAATTGTTATTAACGAGAAACTGTCGATGACAGTTGGATTGTTCGGGGGCAGCAGAAGGGGAGGACCGAAGATTTAAGTTTGTTAACGTTGAGTGTTTGGGGGTGGCGTGTGATCTCCCGCGTTTTATGAAAGCACTGTTTGTTACTGGAAACTTTGGTATTTCGATTTTTTAGTATTTCAGCACAATCTCTAGTCAACTCTCTTTTTACTCCGAAATTAACAGAACCAATCTTACGATTTTTCCCACAAAACTTTAAATGGCGGAATTTTTAGGCGCGGGTCTCGTTCTCTGGTTATTTTCACTGTACACACGTATCGAAGGACAATTGGCTGTTTACGTTATCGTCGAATTACGTTACCGGTTAAAATTGAAAAATGGTAATAAGGAACGACCGAACTGTTGTGTGAGCATTGAAAGAAAAAAATTAAAGAAAGAAATAAGACTGACCCGTGTTGTTGGTAAGCGTGCATAGCAAACGGCGTCGGCGACGGCCGGTGAGTGAATGCGCCTTCCAGTTAGGCGCCCCTCCTAAGAACCCCCACCCCCACGGTAACTCGTCTCGAGGTTCCCCCCACCCCGATTATGGGTAAGAGAGACCCCACCCCCGTTAGGCCCCCTCCTAGCGACTTCTCAGATCCCCACTACCCCGCGAACAGACTCGATCTCACCCTGGCACTCCCCTGCTACTGCTACACTCTACTCTACCTTATATTTCCACCCCTACACTCGCAGACTGCCCACCTTCGATAGGACCAACGCGATACGCGATTAGGGAGAACCCCCCTTTTGATGCCACGAGGTATTCTTACCCTTCTACTTACCGGAAGAGGAACCAACCATCGCCGAAGGTCCTTCTTCCGACCTTCTTCCGGTTCATCCTCTGAGATTGAGATTATTTATTTCAATACGTGAAATGTACTTTTTTTACCCCGGGTCGATGAACTTTTTCATTTGGCTCTTTCGGATGATTTTATTTTTCGAAGTTTCTCAGGTCTTGCTCTCGAATTTGAAACTTTTTTTTTAACTTTCAGGAATTTATTAGACAGATCGTGCTATTGATGTTTTCAGAGGTAGGATACGAGGTTTCTTTCAGGATAACGTTATCAATCGGCGTTTTGTTTTGTTATTCGATTTTTTTTTAAGGCGATAAAATATTTTTGGATTTGCATTTTTTAAGTTTTTACATAACTACTTTTTAAAATAATATTAATTATTTATAGGAATGTTATTGATTACTCAAAGACACAATTTTTATGCAATTTTTAGAGTGGTTTTGATGCATCATTCACATTGCAGGTATTTCTCTTTTAATGAAAATTACGATTTATCCTCTTGTTGTGTCAAGATAAACGATATATAGAATTTTGTAATCATCTTTTTTTACTGACCTTCAAAGACGATCCGGGAAGAGAGGAATGTCGAAGAGTGAGCTTGAAGAAGGCACCGAAGACGAGGAATCGATACTCTTCATTAGTTCTCCAAGGTTTTTCAAAATTTTCTTTCTTCTAGCTCTTATTCAAGTGTTCCGTAACAACAAGATCCTTGAAATCCGAAGAAATTGCAATAGCTATGAAACATCAAGGAAAAGGCCAAAAAATCCGACGATTTTGTCAGCACTATTCACTTTTTTGAAACTGGACGATAACAGTTCACAATTCGAGTAACGAGAATAAAAAATCTTTTAAACCGAGAGTATCCGAAATATACAGCACTCAAATCGAGAAAGCGTCAAAGTAAGAGAAAATGGATGATTGCGCACTTTTCACTTGAATGAAAGAAGAGAAGAAACCAATCACTTGTCACTTTTGTGTAAAAAAATTTTCGAAAACAAAAATGGACGAGCCCCGTCAACCGTGATCAATAAAAAATAAAAAAAAATTAAAATAAAGATCGTCCAAAAAAGATCACCAATCGTCACAATCCATATCCAAAAACGACTTCATCTTCCAAGAATTTTTCGAAAATATCTCAAGAGAGGATTACCTCAATGACTTCACAAATTTACAATATTTCCAAAGAGTCGTATCACGCACTTTTTCCAACATGGCGTCATTCGTCGTCCACATTCGTGGCACAATCACACAAAAAAAAAGAACGACCAAAATAAAAACCAAAATGTGTACAAAAACTAAAAGCCTTCTGAATAAAATATTTTTAAAAAACTTCTAGTTCCCGCGTCGCTCTTCCTTTTCAATCGGACTTCAGTAAAAGCAGTACTTTCAAATTTTCCCAAGTTTCCCGCTCCTTTTCAAAATCTCCATCAACCCTATCTTCCGCACCATCCGGTACTCTTGAAAAATTTCATATTTCACATGACCGCAGGTAACAGCGCAACAAAACGTCCCAAAAAATGTCACAAGGGCCGATTTTCACCAAAGTTCTCTCGACACGCAACAAATACCATGGATGACGATGCTCTCGGCGAAGATTCACCAATCACGCACGTATATCCGCACGACGCTCTATATATATATATATCAATCTAATAAGATTCCTCAAAGATTCACCGTAGATTAGCGTAGGTGCCTCTAGGAACTGTAGACCGGCGTTGAAAAATTTTCGGGGGAAAGAAAAACGTAAATTCGCGAAAAAGGTCACATTTCCAGAGTCGTGCCTGAGGAGCGGCTGCCTCCTGAGCGGTCGCGAAGTGACTGCCCCTCGGTCGTTGGTAAGGGTCCCACCTCCTGGCGACCTCCTGGCCACCTCCACTAGGGTACCAGCCCACCGGACCCCTTCTATACGACTCCCCGACGGCAGGCACTCTGCTTCATCTACCTCTACTTCTGTCTCTGCCGCTGCCTCCTGCTGTACAGTCACCTCCGTCGCCTCCTACTCTGCACCTCAAAGTCCACACCGAGCCTCCTCCGTCTTCCCTCCACGTAGCACCAGCAACGTCCCGTCGTAGATGCTTCTGGCTTCGCCTAGTCCGACCTCAGGATGACCCCACCTGGGTCTGTCTCTCTCACGTGCGTAACCCTATCGGTGCCCCTTTTCACCCTGTAGCCTCTAGCTACCCCTTGGCAACTACTTGAGTCGACTAATCGTTGTTCCTCTCCTGAACTACTCCTGACCCCTGGTAACCTTCCTTCGTCACCTATTCCTCTACTGCACGTCGTTACTTCCCTGGTACCTGCTCCTTTTATTCCTGAAGGAGCTACACCTGCCAACACCTGTACCATCCGGCCTGGCTTTGGGACTGAAGACCTCAGGACATACTATGCTTCCCCACAAGGACCCCAACTGTATACACGAGGGAGTTTAAGATGCAGTTGGTACGCGAAGGTGGATGGTCAATTCTCAGGATGCCCTAACCTCCCACCTATTGCACTTTAGGTGCGTCAGGTACCTCTGGGCCCTTAATTGCGGGAATGCAGTGCGGTTTACAGCTTGGCTTACGGGACTTTGTTTTCGGTTCGTTTTCCCTTTCTGTTACGACCCCCCACAATTTTTGTTCTCTCTCTCTCTCTCTTAAGAGATTTACGGGTTTATGGGGATGGGCACGGTGCGGTCTTCCGTTTCTACAGGGAAAGTGACTCATGTGAGCCTCTTTGAATTCTTTGCTTCTTCAATATTTTTCTTGGAATTTTGCTTTGCCAACTATTTTTCTTTTGCCAAAATACAAATGGGATCTGCACGAAACAAAGAAACATTTGAAACACAAATGTGATTTTATTTGTTAATTAATTTTTAACAAGAAAAAGGTAATGGGTATATTAAACCTCTGAAAAATATGCTTTGATAATTATTTGGAGAATCGCTCTATCATGGCTAACTTTACGAGGTACTGAATGTCTGAAAGTTTGAAATTTAACGAAGAACCCCATACTTAACGCGTAGCCAACAGCTTAACAACAGTTTTGATGTTATTTTTCTATAATGTTGATTCGTCGAGTATCGCACAAACTGAAATGTGATACAGTGAAGATCATTAAACGTGTCAGGTAATGAATAAATTCATTGGACAATTCTATTAGACAAATATATTATCGTATACACAGTATAACAGCAAGGAAACTCGTCATGGCGCCTAATTTTGGAAACTATTCTCTTTTCTACGTAGGCAGGTAACATTTATGTCCGGCCAGAAACGGAGCTGTCAGGTAAATAGAAGGGAAAGGGTCCTGGCAAGAGAATTTTAGTACACGTCAATTTCATCCATTGTTCCAATACATTTCAATAGCGTTCGAATCTCAAGTAGCTGTTGAGAGTTTTATGGTGTTCGAGTCGATCCTAAATAAATTCGTACAAACAAGCCGGACTTCACCTAAAAATCCGTAAATATTACCATAAAAGTTTGTTGCACGAATACGAGAAAGAAGAAAAATTTTGCAAAATACAAATTATTACCAAAGCTGACTAAAGCGTGTCAAAGACTATTCAATGGTACGAAATAAAAAGGAAAAATTTTCCAAAAATCAATTAACATCACACACACAAAAATTATGTAGTGAGAAAAATCTTGAAAAATCAAGTTGAAAATTGAGAAAAAAAGATTTCAAAATTTCTCTCGAAAATAGTTCGACAGAAATTCTAAAGAATAGCAGGAAGGAAGGCTGGATCCGTGTCCTATGTCAAGGATCCCCCAAGCATTGGTGGTTGGTACCGGTGCACCCCCAGTGGTTGTCAATGGTGGGGGTGGGTGGGTTGAAATAAGCAGCGCTGCTTTTTCAAGGGGTAGCAGCGCGAAGAGCACACAACAGGAGGCGCCAGAAGAGGCGAAGGTGCCTACGGATGTATTTTTTAATTATTGATTTTAATGACGAGGGGGGTCGCTGGAAACGCCATCTTGGATGCTGGGCGGAGTAAGAAGCAGCCTCTCTCCCTTCTCTCTTATTCCTTCTTTCTCTCTTGCTCCCTCGCTCACTCGAACCATCATTCTCTCTCTCGGTCTCCCGCTACTTTGCTTCTCTTTTTCATTCTCTCTTTCTCGCAGTCGGTCCCCCCTTCTCACTGTCTCTCTCTCTCTCTCTCTCTCTCTCTCTCTCTCTCTCTCTCTCCCCTTTTCTCTCAGTCGCTCCAAGTGTCTCCCCTCCTCACTCCCCCCCTGTGCCCCTCTGTACCATTGGCTCCCCGTAGTTCCTCTCTCTCTCCTGGTCACCCCTGCCAGTGAGGCTCTCTTATGCCGAGAGATAGACAGATGATAATTAAGAAAGCGGTGGGACGCGCGAGGTAGCGACGCGCCGCGACGCCGGCCGACGCTCGATTCTTCCTCGCGATCCGCTTTTTACCTCAGCTTGCCTCGCCTATCTCTACTTTTCTTTTTAGTTTCTCTCTTTCTCTCCCTCTTACCTTTTTTCCCCTCTTCGTCTCTCATTTACATATATACATACTCGCTCTCACTCTAATCAACTGTACCTAACTCTCTTTCGTTATTCTTTAAATATTGTCAGATACATATATAGCCTATTAGATTATAACGAGAGTTCGACAATTTTGGTCCAAACGAAGATCAGTGTGATTTAAGCTGACTGATTCAAGCTGACTCCATCAGTGAAAAATATATCGATCGACAAAATGAAGAATAGTTATAATAATAATTCTGGAATTATATGAATACGGGTTACGATTAGTCTTCTAATAATAATTTAGGTATCGTGCGTCATTTCGTACCTGCTATAGTATATAGAATAAATATTTCCTAATTAAGAGCACAGAGAATCTTACGTACTACTATAACGGTACAGTCTCGTCAATACAAATAACACAATTATAATTCATTTATCAATCTGAATTAATGAATAGTTTAATGGGTGAAAATACATCGTACATTTCTGTATAAACGTACTTTGCTTTACTTCAGTTTAAATCTATTTTAATGTATCTATATTTATGCATGTATATATGTATCATACGTATAATATATATACTAAGTATATATACAGCACATATGTTTACAAATGGCGGGAAAAGCTCATATTCAAATACGAAGCACGGAACGAGCCCTTACAAGAGGAACTTACATAATTACGTAAGCTCCCGTTATATATTCAAGGTCATGTGTGACACATATACGTATATCGAATATATTGTTCGAGCGATGCTCACATGAGATTCGCGTATTACATCGTCGACAACAGCGAAACTCCATACAGCGTCAGACTCCTTTCTGACGCACTCTGTTAATTATAAATCCTGTTAATTAACGTCGAACCAAAGAAAAGCTCTCTCAGCTCTGACTGGCGTAATATACGATTGGTGTTGGTGCATGAGTTTTATGTGTAAAACAGTAAATACATGACGTTTCAATAAAATCCTCAAAGGCAAGTAGCGCCACGGCCGTTTTTTGTAGTTGGGGCAGTTACTAACGGGAGCGCGGGTAATTTGAACGGCGAATATTATTCGTTTACGAATAATAACAATAGTGCAGAATCAAACGTAATATAGGGGTGCAGTCGGCGACAGTAGTTTTTATATTAACAATATGTACGTCATTACTGATGGTCAGTAGAAAAAAAAATAAAACCAATAATATATAGTATCATTGATAATTGATTAGTTGATAGTGTGCGAGAGGATCTATAGAGGGTCAAGGATCGAGAATTGAGGATCTAGAAGGGAAGAAGTGACTCAGCGTCGACGTAGACCCCCCTATGGTGTACTCGGGTAATTAATTCACGATGGGGTTTCCATAGTGGGCCCCCATAGTACGCTATGGTGTATCTACCTAACTTACTGTACCCTAACCTCCCTTATACAGCTTATCCACCTATGGACTCCTTTCGTTTGATCCATCTTTTATTTTATTCGTTTTATGGCCTTATGGAATTATCGTTACGGCGATTTTATCATCGACACCAATTTCTGTGTTGTTACACGACTATTCTCGCCTTGGTCCAACTACCGGCTCTGGGCGCAGCATCCGATTCGGCAGATTATGCTCGGGACGCAAAGTAGAGGTACCTATAATGGATGCACTGTCCGATGCAACAGGCAAATTAATCCTTATGGTTGTAGGAGTGATCGATTACGTTGAATCATTAATGTATAATTAATTGGAGCGGATTAAAGGGTATCGATTACTGGATGATATTGAATATTTTTTATATGCGATTTACCGGCTGTTATTACTCGATTATGAACATCGATTGATTTTATAAGGAACATGTATATTGATTTTTTAAATCGATTGCTAATCGATAATTTTTTGTATGGGGTTTATAGCGTTATTGGTAATTTGGTCGATCACAGTGATAAGAAATTATCAAAGACACGTCGATCATTTGGATTAATTAAAAATAATATAAAAAAGAGATCAACGAGCGATGATACCGCGGTCAGATGTATTTTCTCACGAGTCAATTCACGGCGTGTCCTAAGGACTTTGGTATATAGGTATAAAAGTATCGCGAGCGTTTATCGTCATTGTCATCATTTGCCGCTGTCACTGTTGTTGTCATTGTTCCTCTATTGTCTTAGCCGAGATGCGATTCACACTTGGACGAGCGGACGAAACGGAGCGAATCGTTGAGAAAACTTGTTCTGCGATGATCGACCATGGTACAGTATATATGTATAGCGTATACAGATATATAGGTGGACAGTGCCAACCGTGTACGACTGTACACGACTGGTATGAAAATTCGTATCGTGACATAGAGATGATTAAAAAGAAGCAAAATCGATCCTGTCCACTAACGTCCGGATGAC